TTTATTTGTATATAATTTGGGAACTATTTCTAATGCATATCCCATTTTAAACAATAGGGGGCATTATGATGTCATGTTTTTGGTTTTCTCTATGACGGCAAGTATTTTATTTCATAGTAAAAATCCTGGATTTTCTTCTTGATAAGAATACTTCTCTAAATCCAAAAGCATATTTGTTTTATTTTGACAGTACAGGCAATGAATATGAACCTCATTATATATCCTCGGGGGACCTAATTTCTTAAGAGAAACAACTATACCAATTTATCACTATTTCAGTAAATGCATACATTTCTAAATTGATATAAAAATCCAAACTAACTTATATTTAATCCAGATATCATAGTTTTAAAACAAAGTTTGCTTGCTTCCTTATTAAATTAAGAAATGTTGGCATTTTCAAGTGTTCCTAAATCAATCTTTCATTATGTATTATCATAAATGCAAACGTTTCTTTAGTTAAGATTTAAGTTTAAAAATCATGAAACTATGGGGGTGTCTGCGCAGTTCAGTCAGTTAAACGTCTGCCTTCGGCTCAGGTCATGATCCTAGGACCCTGGGATTGAGCCCCAAGTCTGCTCTCTGCTTAGCAAGGAATCTGCTTCTCCCTCTCCCTCTGCCCTTCCCTTCTGCTTATGCTCTCTCTCTTTCTCAAATAAATAAAAAAAATGTTTTTTAAAAAATTCATGAAACTATGTTCTTAGCATTACAGAAGTTTGGAATCTTTAGACAACTATGGTGAAAATTATTAAAACAAATATTTTCAAAATTATTAATTTTATGAAGTTAATTAAGGAGTTCTTTAAATGTATAGCATTTGGGTATTTTTATCTTTTCAAGCTTTACATGGATTTAATTTTCAGGTAGGATATAGAGTAAACCAGGATTTAGTAGATTAAATATTTAAGCTTAAAACTGAAAGTTTTAGATGGAAGAAAATATATTTCTCAATGGGAAGCATCTCTTTCATGTTTCATGAAGCAAAGAGAAGGAAACTGAAGATAAGACAACTTGAAAGATCATTTCTGTCTCCATCCAAAATTGTATAACAGTTGTCAATGCTTTTTTAAAGTTTTATTGAAATTATATATATGCATATATATGTATATATATGTATATATATCTACACATACAAGTATTGCATTTCTACATTCTCTTTATCTTTTTATAAAAACTTAAAACATTAAATAATAGTCTAATGTCAACTTTTAATTTGTTTTCCCAATCTGAGTCTGCTACATCAGATAAACGTAATCATCATTATGAATTTGTTGTATATACTGAATTTTTAATTATTCTGGTAAATGTCACTATGATACACTCATTTTTGCATATTTCTTGGCATTAGAACTCATATTCAACAAAATCTTTATAACTTTTTTTTTAATTACATGCTCATAGCTTGAATTTAGCCATTGTGGGAGTATTTACACCATGGAAATCAGCAAATTCAACAAATTTCTGCCCTGCAAAGAACCTGTCACCAGTACACCAATGAGTGTTTCTTACTTATCAGTTAACTATTGATTAGAATAGTATTCTTTTGGAGGGTTTTTCAACCCATTGCAGAATGTTTAGCATCCTTGGCCCCTGCCTATTAAACACCATGTAGAAAACCTTAGTCACAGAAACCACTAAAAATGCCCCCACATATTTCCAAATGTTCCCTAGAACATTTAACCCCTTGCAAATGACATCCACGCCTGCAGGGATGACTAAGCAATATGTGGCAGTAGGTAATGAAAACTCTCAGGTGGGGAAACTTAGAGACAGAAACAATGTAACAAGTTAGGTTAAAAAAAATAAATTGGGACTGACCTATAAACAGATTTAAATTATAGTCTACATTGTTTCACTTTTCTGTCATCTTGTTGGTCTGCTTATTGGTAATACCAGAATGTGGAGAGACCAAAAACAAGAAAGCCAATAAGGAAGCTATAGTATATATCTGTTGTTTGCCAACAAATAGCATTTATTTTTCCTTTGACAACAGATCTTCGAGTGCCCTCCAGACTTCAGAGGTGTGGTGCACAATATGATGGTCATTAGCCACATATGGCATTGAACACTAAAACTGAGGTTAGTACAAAGGAGGAAATGAATTTATAATTGAATTATGTTGGAAGTATAAAATATGTACTGAATTTTGAAAATGTACTCTAAATTAAAAAAAAATGGAAAATATTTTAATAATTTTTAGATTTTGATAAGATGGTGAAATAATGTTTTGGATATATTGGATTAAAGTATTTTATATCTTATAATTAATATATTAACTTCATCTATTTCTTTTTACTTTTTTAAATGCGGCTACTAGAAGATTTACAATTATATATGTAGTTTACATTATATTCCTATTAGACAGTGCTGCTCCAGAAAGAATCATCTATTTTTCATTGTGGGCCCATGCATTGGACATTTTTTTTAAAGTTTATTTATTTTTAGTAATCTCTACACCCAAGTGGGGCTCAAACTCCATCCCAGAAATCAAGATTTGCATGCTCTTCCAACTGAGCCAGCCAAGCACTATAGTTCTGACATTTTTGATTCCTTTGCAGCTTTGGATTGCAGGCAAATGATTTACCCCTGGCCAATGAGAAGACACTGTGTCTTATGTCTTTGGGGATGGTTACATGACCTAATTTCAACCAAAGAGAGTGATTTTACAGGATTTTAGCTCAAACTTCTGGGAAAGAATAGTTCTCTTTTTATGAACTTGGAACTGTTGCTTCAAAGTCTAGAACTGGTAGAGGCCATGTTACCACCTTGAAAAAACTGCCAGGTTGGACATGAAGCCAACACTGGAGTGCAGAGGCAAGAAGTGGAGAGAGACGGACTCCTAAAACCAGATCTACTTCAGAACTTTTTAGTTACTTTGGGCAGTAGAGAACTTCTGGGCTCAAGCCTGTTCGGATTTTCTGCTTTAAAAGATATATATATTATTTATTTGAGGGAGAGAGAGCGAGAGCATGTGAGCAGGGGTGGGGGTGGCAGAAGGAGAGGGAGAGAGAGAGAACCTCAAGCAGATTCTATTCTGAGCGTGAGCCCAACACAGGGTTCAATCTCATGATCTTGAGATCGTGACCTGAACTGAAACCAAGAGTCAGGTGCTTAACCGACTGAACCACCCAGGTGCTCCAGGTTTTCTGCTACTTTAAAAACAAAAATTCCTTATGGGTAAGAGGAGCACTTAGGCAGTGGCAGCAGGAATGGAGAACATCAAATCTATGACACATTGCAGTGAATGTGGCCCTCATTTGACTTAAAGAATTCAAGGAGTAGAGATGGGGAAAAGTTAAGAACATCAGCCTCATCAACTATTGTATCAAGTGGTAAATACAAGTTTTATTAGCATGTGATAATGAACTTACTTTGAAATTTAATCTTCTCTAATGATATACTAAATTCAAATCCTCAATAGCCTGGTTGGCAGCATTTAGAAGTGAATCAGTTTACTATGTGACCTTCTATTTGGTCTTTATTTAAAATGCTAGTGTATAATTAGTGAGATTGGGAATTCTGAAATATAGATTTTTAGGCTCCAAACTAGTAATAGATGGATAGCAATTAATATACATGCAAGTGTTACAGCTTTATATCATCAGCCAAGAGCCCAATTCTGTTTCTCTTGTACAAGAGACTCATATATTCATGGCTCAGTCACTGTGTGCAACTATTCCTGATTAGCTCTGAGTCAAGTGAAAACATTTCTCTTTTTAGTCAAGTGCCTTCTGATATTCATAAACTTTTAGAAAGTGTTGTACTTTTATTTTTGGTAAATCATAATTTTTTTTGATACTGTAAATTTCAATTAAATCTCCATCCCTCAGGAATCTTGAAATATTTCAGATTTTAAAGGTTTATTAAACTCTAGATTTTTAAAATCTAATTTTTTAGATCATAAAGGTGACATAAAAAATATTGAATAACTATGCTTTAGTTTTTACTTCTGTCCTCTGATTTACTTATGATACTGAAAGACTTTTCCAAAAGGTTTGCTTCCCTACCTGCCACCTTGATAGGTTCCAACAGAGATGATAACTGGAAAAAAAGGTAGAAAAAGTTGACAAAATTTTTATTTAATGAAAGTTAACTAGAATAAAATAAGCTTTCTTATTATGATAAAAATTTCTCAGAGGGCCCCCAAAATAATAATAATAAAAAAACAAGTTCCCAGGGATCTATTGGTTATATTCAATTCAGATGTAGGTGATTGAACGAGTAGAGATAGTTCAGTGCTCTTGACACCAACAAAAACATTACCTTGTGGAAGAGAGATAGGTCTTTCTAATTGTATAATAGTGGAAAGATACTTGCATAATTACAGGGCTGCACTGACAGCTGCTTATCATGTCCGTTCTCATGCCCTGCAGGTGGTAATTTACCCATGTGTTTCCATTCATTTGAATGGAAAACAGTAGGAGGTGGCCCTTATGAATCCCGTATAATTGTAGACATTTTAAGCAACTATCATTGAAGTTTTTTTCATTTTAATATTGTGTAAAAATATGACATTATTTTTTAACTAGATTTTCCTATTCGACAGAATCTTTTAAATACTATGCCTACAATTTTTGTCTCCTTACTTTTTCTCTGAAATTATTACTTTATTATTTTCATATTCCAAGGCATAAGTGAAAGGTAACAACAATGGGAACAAAGTCTTCGTTAAGATACGGATCTAATGAAAATGTTGGATAAAATCTTGTCTTTTTATTAACATTCCTAAATGTAGTAAGTACGGTAGCATAAAAAACTACATATCAAATATACTCTGAGTTCAGAGGGTTTGATTTTATAAAATTGCCTTTAATAATCATTTTTTTTTGAAGTTCATATTCTTTAATGTTGTACAAAAAAGTATGAGTAGAACCAAAAGTAAATTAAACATTATCACATTTGTTTACAACACTATCGAGTTCTTCATATTAACTTTACTATTCAAACAACAGAAAGTAGGTAGCAATTTAGGGACTGGGAAAGAGATAAAAACGAAAAAAAACTTTTCTACCATGTTTATTCTACACTGTGTATAGCTGTGCTCACAGAGACGGCTTCTTTTACTTCTCCACTGTGCAGGAATTCAGTTGTATATAAAATTGAACCTGCTCAGAAGCTGAGGGAGACTAGAAATGATGGGTCCATATCCTGGTGCATTATCATATAACTCAAACAACGGTGCAGCTACAAGCTTGTAATTTTTTGGGACTGCAAACAAGGCTTTCTCTTGAAGTTGAACCAAAAACAACTTCTTATGTTCCTTAGGTTTTGTAATATGTGCAGGAATATATGGGTACTGAGGAGGTTCAAAATTTGGTCTCCACCAGTTACCAATGCAGTCATCAATGACCCAGTCTTGCAGGACTCCATCCTGACGACCCAGTATCTCTGTCATTAAGCGTTTTAGTCCTTCAACTTCATCCTCTCCTGGGTTAAGTTCACCACCTGGTAATTTGAAGAAAGTTGTTCCCAGCTGTAGCAGTAACACATGTGGTAGCCGGTGCTCATGTACAATCAGAACCCCTTCTACAGTCCTTCTCATTCCAATTTTATCAAACTCCTCCCTCATGCGCTGAAATCTGGCTGCAACAGAGCTGTCCTTCTCATAGAGGGGCTCTTTTGTACCAAAAGTATAATTGGTAAGAGGGTACAGGTCGATGGTGCGCTCCAGGGTGAGGGGCTTGGTCTGCTGGATGTACTTGTCGCCGAACTGGTTGACCCCCCGGGGCCAGCCGGTTTGTGAGCGATTGGGCGGCACCACGGACATGCTGGCGAGCTCGAGTACTTGCGGAGAGAGGAAGTGGGGCAAGCAGGGAGACTTTCCCTGTGCCGGTAGCGGTTATTTGCGTCCCCCTCAGCAGACGCCACCCGCCATTAACATGAGAGCGCAAGAGCCCTTTAATAATCATTTTATTTGAAAATTTTTTCTAAAGCCATTTAATAATATCCATGTATATGGAAGTTCCTGGCTTTAATCTCAAGCAGCTAGAAGAGACCAGGACCAGGAAATAAAACATTTCCTGTACAACTATAGTTGCCGGCTTAAGACTTCAAGGTCAAACTCACACATGGTCTTCAGGAAAGATCTTTCACTTTTTTTTTTTTTTTAAGATTTTATTTATTTATTTGAGAGAGAGGGATGCATGCTTGTGCATGTGAGGTGGGGGGGGTGGGACGAGGAGCAGAAGGGGAGGGAGAAGGACAAGCAGACTCCCCACTGAGCCCGGAGTCTGACTGGGGCTCCATCCCAGGACCCCAAGACTATGATCTGAGCTGAAACCCAGAGGCCGGCGCTCAACCAACCAAGCCACGCAGGTGCCCCAGGTCCTTCACTTTTGATCAGAAGTTCTTTCTTTTTACTGAGCACATCATTCTTATAAACAAACATAAGCAAACAAATGAATAGCTTTATGTCCTAATACAGGGGCAATTAAAGAAAATACTAGATAGGAGAAGAAAGGTTTATTTTGGTCACTTACAGATTCAAATCACATTTCAACTGTTTCTTTTCCTTAAATCGCCAGGTTTGGAGTTTATCACCTCATTCTCTCCGCTCCTAAAACACTTTTTTTTTTTATTAGAGAGAGAGAGCACATGTGTGCACATGTGTGGCGGTGGGGAGGAGCAGAGGAAGAGGGAGAGAGAGAATCTCAAGCATGGAGTCTGACCCGGGTCTCTATCTCAGGACCTGAGATCATGACCTGAGCAGAAATCAAGAGTCAGCCACTTAACTGACTGAGCCACCCAGGCAGCCTGTTCCCAGAACACTTTTAAAAATAAATTGACATCATGATCAGGGTTGACAGTAAAAATATTTAACGACTGGTACAGATGCAGGGTGCCTCTCCCTTTGTCCCACCCCCGCTCACGCTCTCTAAAATAAATAAATCTTTCAAATCAAACAAACATGCTGGCCAAGTGCTGAAGTCTGGAGCTGATCTATGCTGGCCATCTTTTAGCTATTGGATCCTGTAGAATTCCAAGGTGTCCCAGAGCCCTGACTGCTGAGGTGACTGGGAAGCACTCAGGAACAATGGCAGTGGTCCTAACTTCAAAAACCAAAGGATGAATGGGTGCAGAGCCTATTTCTAATTCATTTTAACAATCCCAGCTGGCAGAGAATGCACAAGATGTTAGTAACTCAAATAAGTAACCTTTGGATTTGATGTGTTTTAAAACATTTTATCAGAAAATTTAACAACAATTTGGATTCGTATCGGTGTGTATTTTACTAAAGTTCTGCCTCTGCAATTCCCCTAAAGTAGGAGACAATGAATGTCACCAACATCCAAAGAGTGGAGAGAAGAGAACATTATAGCCAGAGGACTTGGCATGGCCAAGCAGACTTTGGATTACCAGTTCCACTTACCAGGCCCTTGCTCTTGCATATAAACAGAGATGCCAAAGAGATGGAAATGTGCTGATTAAAGTAAAAAACAGCAACAACAGTATTTTAACAGTTGTGGTGTCCTGTTAGGAATTAAATAAAACAAAGTAAAGTAAATGTACTCCTTTCATGTTGATAGTAGCCATTCTACAACTATGGAAAACTAATGTTCTATATTGACTGTTTTTAAGTAACTACTCAGAAACAGATTCTGGCACCTTGTATTTTCCCAAGGTAAATAAATCATTAAGTAAACCAAAATTCCCACCCTCACATGAAAACATGTATTTGTGGATCAGTGCATAATGGATAGAAAAGCTAAAGTAAGTATTTACCCTCTGAAATCTGGGTCTGAAATTTGTTGTTATTGAATGTTAAGGAATTCCCATTAGGTGGTATGAACTAGTCTATTTCTTAACCTTTTTTTTTTTCTCTCTTCTTCTCCTTATTCTGATTTTGGCCAGAACGTGAAAAACAGGTACTTTATGGTGATATTATGGTCACTGCATGCTTTCTAGTGAAGAGACAAAGGGCTGAGCAGCCTATTTCTGTCCTAGGCATGGGAGTGAGGAATAAAGATTTGTGTGTGTGTGTGTGTGTGTGTGTGTGTGTGTGTGTGTGTTTCTGAAGAAATATAATTAGAATAGAAATAGAATTCCGTTGCTGGTGGTCTTATGTTTCTATATCAGTAAAATAACAGTAATAGTTACAAAGTTGTGTTCAGGCTGAGAGGACATACATAGGAGAATCCTGGTGCATAATATGTAGTACTCAAAGTATGTTAGTTCTTATTGTTAGTTAAGAACCTTTATATTTTAAGGCTATTTGAATCAAAATGTATACATACCTCCCATCCCCAACCTACTTGCCCTTTAGAAAATGGTTATTGATTTTTGAACTCTGGAAGGCACAGCTGTATCTGGTCAAGAAAATCTCCTGGATTGGCAGGCTATTGAGTTAGCTGCCTGGGAACAGCCATGAGAGGGTCACTTCTGCTTAGAACTGACATCTAAGACTTTTAAAAATGAGTTCCTTCCCAGCCTGCTCATGTACTCCTCTTTATTGTTTATAGAACTGCAAGCCCTGTTACTTAAAATAGGACAGACACTACATTTACGTTCTGCTGACAATTAATACAATTAAGAATAATTAAAAGTTCAGGCACTACTAATCCCCTCATAAAGTGTCCTCGAACCTGATACAGCTATGAGGATTTAAAATGATGCTAATCCCACACAGTGTGGTGGCAGTGCCCCGTCCTTGAACTGTTTGTCTTTCATGAGGAGGTAAGGACAGAAATTGAGAGTGCCAGGACAAGCAAGTACATGATTTAGGATTTGACAAAGGTATTGTTCTGGTGGGGATGGGGAGGGGGGAACCCCCAGTCCTTCCCTCCAGTAATTCGCAAAGCACTGATTTAAGATGAAATCTTTGTGCATAACCATGTAACAGGTTATGTGGTCTGATTTGTGGAGCCTGCCCCCAAATCTGTCTCCAAGCACCTGTCATGAAATCTGATTTTATAATGAGAATTTTATCTCTTAGGATCATCAGATTTAAAGATCAGAGTTTTTCTTAATAGTACAAATATTTCTGAGAAGAGATAGGAACTCACATTTATTAAACAACAACTATCTGAGTTATTTTTAAATTCATTATTGTGATTCTTCAAAACACTGTCCCAATGCCCTAAAAGAGTTTAGTTACCATGAAGGGCACTTAGTGTCATGGTGAGCAAATATCAGCAGAGGATAGTAATGTCCTGTGTGTGTGTGTATGGCAGGGGGCCCTTAGAGAATTCAGAATCAAACCTAGAGAGGCTTCCTTGTTTTGCCCTGTATGTAACTCCTTAGAGGTTCTGTTTGTTTGACCACTTTGAGGTCACATGGGGTACCATAACTTTGGACATAATCTTGCTGACACAGACACGTCTGCCAGCCCAGTGGAGAAGCTGAGAATTGAGGGGAGGCTGCGTATTTAATCTAATGCTTGTGCACTTTGCCTCCCCCTCCACAGACCTTCACCAGTCTTCATTTGGTAAAGCTTCACATCATGGCTTACTCTGTGATCTCACTTCCTGCATGTTTTAGGGAGGGAGGTCTGTGTGGAAACATCCTGAGATATCAGACTAAAAGGAACTCATGTATTCTGAACTAGCTATTTTAGTTCAAATATTACACATTTCCTATTTTCTCTTGAGAATGTTTTCTTGACTTTCTGGCAGAATTTCAAGATGAATAGAGAAAACAAACCCTCAAGATTCTCTAAACAAGGGTTTCTCCTACTAGGGTTTTAAAATGTTTTCAAATTTCTTCTCGTCTATTTTATGAATTTAGACATTCTAGCCAGGTCAGAACATTCTCTTAAATTTTTTTTTCCATTAATTTGTGATTACAGTATTCACTATTAGGTTGGCTTGGTGGGACTATTTTACTGAAACTTAATAGAATTTCTGGTACAAAGGTCAAGGCATCTGACCTAGAATCAGAGTGAAGGTAACCTGGTCATAAGTGCTTACATTGACCGCAGGAGGGGGTTTCATGTATCCTCTGTTATTGAGATGTTCAGTGACTGGCATGGGCTGAGTGGCATATTCTCAGTACAATGACTGAATATTCTGTTTATTTTCTTCTAATCCATGAAAAGTTAAAATTCAACTCCACAAATCTATTCAGAAAAGTGTCCTTTAATGGAAGATTCTGCTCTGGAATAAATATATTTATTAAGGAGAGTAAGTCCCTGGATTACATAAAGCACAGCAGCTTTTTAAAACAGCTTTCTTATGAAAGTAAGTTGGACCCGTACTGATCTTTGGGACAGTGCATCCTAAGTTCATTCCCATTTGGAAATAAAGAAACAAGCACTCTTTGAGGTATAGGCCTTTTGGTCATGAACTCATGGGCTCTAAAGCCATATATCACTTCTAAACTAGAGAAATTGAAACTGCACTAAGTTGAAATGGAATTTTCTCTAATTAAAAGACTAATAAGCTTTAATGCCATAGAATAACTTAAGAAAGAAAAGCTTAAGAGAGCTCATAATTAAAACAATTATCTAAAAATTCTGATAAATATGAAAATCTCCAACCTTGTTTTTTGCTTTCAGTTCTTGAACTCAGACACTATTTGCTTTCCTTCCGTTTCCTTACCCAACCTCCAGGCCTGTTTTTCCAGATATATTCATGTATGAAGTGTGTTGACCTCTTATTAATCAGATAGTAGGCTAAAATAAAATAACATGCATTCTCATTTAATCTTTACGGCGTTTCTGTAATGTACTAGAGGGCTGTGCTCCTTATTTTATTGGAGGGAGAATTTTAAGCAGCTATTCTGATTTACCTCCACAAATGAGGAACAAAAAATTCAAATTGTCATGTCTAAGTTTATCATTTATGTATCACCCATGTGGTAGTATGTCTGGCATCAGGGAAGTGAATGTCGCGTGGCTGGTTGTAGTGAGTGCACAGCTAAGCTGAACACCCCCATCTTCCTGCAGTCAGGT